ATTGACGAACACTACAGTAGCAAGCCATACAAACAAAAACAGGTCTGAGGCCTTTGCATTCATCAGCACACAACCGAAATCAGATTGTCACAAACCAGTCCACCCTTCAGACAATATGGGGCTGGCCATTGCGCAGGGCCCACTGTGGCTAGACCATTTGGTAGAAACAAAGAAGGGAGTCGTTTGGGGAGTGATTTTTGTAAAGCCCGTGGCTGGAGCAAAAGCCAACAGGTAACAGTTCGAACCTTACACAGCTAAGCTTGCTAACTAGAGGGCTTTGCACGGAATAAAAAGGTTGGGGGATGTTGGGGGAGGGGGTGCTTGGAGGAGGAAAGAAAAAGAGGAGAGAACGAGGAGCTTAAGGTGATAGTTTCAAATCTGACCTTGCAATTTGTTTTGAAAATCTGTCTCATTATCAATATGGTATCTTTCTGTTTTGTGTGCCTATTCTCTATTTACATGGTCTGCCCTCTGCCCCATTTTATGGCATCTTGTAATTTTTCTTTCCTGCTTGCTCCATTTTGTCAATCCATCATTAATTCAACTTGTTTATTAGTTACCAGATTTTATTCTATCTGTCATATGCTTTCCCACCTCTTAATTTTTTCCCCTCTCCCTCACTAACTCTACTTCTCCTCTTTCCTCTTTACCCTTTTCACTCCTTCTATCCCTCCATCCATTCCTTCTTCCATTTCTCCTCTTCTACTTTTGCTTTCCTTACATTCTTTTGATCTTCTTCCCTCCCTTCTCTTCCTTCTTTTCTTTTCCTGTATATTCCTTCAGTCTTTTCTTTTTTCCCCTGTCTGGTCTAATCCTGTCCTGTCCTACCCTCCTCTGTCCTCCTCTGTCCTGACTCCCTTTCCCTCTGTTCTCCTCTTCTCTCTCCCCCTCTCTCCTTCTCTCCTCCTCTTCCCCCTGCTCCCCTCCTCTCCTCTTTACTTCTCTTCCTTCCCTCCTCTCCCCTTCCCCTCCTCACCTCCTCACCTCTCCTTCTTCTCTCCTTCTCCTTTTCCTCTTCTCTTCTCTTGTCCTCTCCCCCCTCCCCTCCCTTCTCCTTCTTCCTCTCCTCTCCTCCTCTCCTCCTTCCCTGATCTGTTTATCTATAAGCTCCAAATTCTTGATTTACCTGCAAAACAAGACATCACTCCTCTTGAAAGAACTGTTTAAGAAATCCTTGGCTATTTCAGCAGTGATATTCTTCCCCCGGCTACCCCCGTCAAAATAAAACAAATTCAGTCAGCTCCTGCTGTGTGTCCTTAAATCCATTCCCTCCAGCTTTGCTGGTTTGAAAGCCTGTACCCTAGAAGGGGCCTCCAGCATTTGCTGGCAACCCTGCTCTAGTCTGATCGCCACAGATAGTGCTTTGGAGTGAAAAAAAAAGGGGGGGGAACCCTCTCGTTGGAGATTTCAAAACAGATCCTACAAAGCTCAGAACCCTGTTCTTGTATAATGGCAGGGCTTGGGTTAGAGGGACTGGGGACCTAGGTGTGTGTATGTTGGGGATAGTGGCAGGGGTGGGGTGGGGAATGATATAGCTACTAGGAATAAATAAGCAACTTAATTTATATATACATGTACATATATATATATGTGTATATATATATGTACATATATATACACACACACACACATTTATATATATATGTGTATATATGTATATATATATATATATAAATAATTGCGGGTTTCCTTTGGCATGTTCGGTGTCTTTTCCTTTGGCATCCAGGGTGGGTCCTATGCAGTTGTGACTTGCAGTCCTTACAGAATATTCTCACTCTTGCTGTTTTTCTATATGTGTGGTGGAACTGGGGAGGGGGTTGCTGTGTTTTTGATCTGACTTGTCTGACAGATTATTTGAATCCAGCCCACCTTTCCGCACATGTCAAACAGATGGGATCATTGTTAAAAGCCTTGAGAGATCCCTGGCTTAGCGGTGGGTAAGAGAGGGAGGGTGGAAGGCAGAGGGAAGAGTGGAGGGGGAACTGGGGAGGAGGAAAGGGGCACCCTCTCCTAGCTCTGCATGCTTCCTACATCGAGAGTGACAGCAAGGCTCCTTCTTAGCAGGGGGTTTGTTTGGGGGGTATAGAGCTGGTGAGGGGTGGGATGGAAAGAAGAGAGAGAGGTAGGGTTTTGGTGGGCAGGATTATGATGTCACAGCAAAAGTTACAACAGGAGGAAAACATAGAAATGGTTCAACCTTTTTTTTCTTTAACTTTGGACTGCCAAGAGCTGAAGTGGAGAGTGGTGAGCAAAGGAATGAAGGAGAGAGAGGGAGAGAAGAAGGAGAGAGAGGGAGGGGGAAAAGGGAAAGGGAAAGGGAGAGGGAGAGGGAGGGAGAGAGGGGGAGAGAGAGAGAGAGAGAGAGAGAGAGAGAGAGAGAGAGAGAGAGAGAGAGAGAGAGAGAGAGAGAGAGAGAGAGAGAGTGAGAGTAAACTGGAAGCTGGAGCTTTGTGCAGCTGCTTGAAACCTTATGAATGGATTACTAGTAGCCGCAACCCAG